TGATAGTCTTATGTGAACTCTTTTGTAGGTAACTCTCTCCTCTTCTCTTGCTGCTTTAAAGAACCTCTCCTTATTTTTAATCTTGGGTAACTTACTAATTATGGTGTGCCTTGGTGTGCTTCCTTGGGTCCAACTTCTTTGGGATTCTCTGAGCTTCTTGGATCTCCTAGAAGTCTATTTCCTTGGCCAGATTGGGGAAGTTCTCCATCATTTTTTCAAGTAAGTTTTCAATGTCTTGCTCTTCTTCTTTTCTTTCTGGCACTCCTATAATCTGGATGTTGGAATGTTTAAAGTTGACCCAGGAGTTCCTAAGCTTCTCCTCATTTTTTTGAATTCTTTTTTCTTCATTCTGTTCTGGTTGAATGTTTTTCTGTTCCTTCTGCTCCCAATCGTTGATTTGAGTCCGTTTCCTTCCCTTTACTGTTGGTTCCCTGTATATTTTTCCTTATTTTGCTTTGCATAGCATTCGTTTTCCCCCCCATTTTGCGACCATACTCGACCAATTCAGAGAGCATCCAGATTACCAGTGTTCTGAACTGTGCATCTGATTGGTTGGCTATCTGTTCATTGCTTAGTTCTATTTTTGGAGCTGTGATCTGTTCTTTCATTTGGGCCATACTTTTTTATCTTGGTGCACCCTGGAAATCGTTGGAAGAGGTGGAGCCTTAGGGGTTCGCCACTGTGGGGCAACACAGGTCGTTGAGTTGTGATGCTGCCTGTGGGGGAGGGGTCCGAGAGGGAACAATGCCACTTGCTCGGCTCTCCGCTGGCTTTCAGTCATTTTTCCCGCTACCCACAAGCAAACTGGACCCTTCTGGTGCTGATTCCCTGTTAGGAAGGTTTGTGTACGTTCTAGGACCCCTTGGGTCTCTCCAACGGACTCTCCTGTGAGGCTGGGAGTTTCTCCTGCCACTGTAACCCCCACAGGTTTTTACCTTTGGAGGTTCTGAGGCTTTCTTTTCTCACACTGGAACCCTGGATTGTGTGGTCTGTCTCGCTTCCCAGCTGTTCCTCACAGTTTATCCACACACAAATGTGGGACCGCCTGGTCCCCCAGCCACTGCCTTGCCACGCATCCTGTCCCTTCTGGATGCCCGTCACCGCCCCTCTTACCGGTCTGGATAAATGTTTCTTCTTTAGCTCCTAAATTGTCGGATTTCCATACAGTGTGATTTACTGGCAGTTCTGGTTATTTTTTCTTTTTAAATTTGTTGTTGTTCTTCTTTCGGTTGTGCAAGGAGGCAAAGTGTATCTACCTACACCTCCATCTTGGCTGCTGAAGTGTTGTTCATGCTTAAAAATGATCTTTCATGACTTTCAATTCTGTTCTACTTTATATTTTTATTCTAGATATTTTGCAAAGCTGTTTTAAAATAAACTGCATTAAGATTTTTTTTTAAAGGTTTTATTTATTTAAGAGGGAAGAGAGTGAGAAAGATGTGTGATCAATGTGTGATTGCCTCCTGTGTGCCCCCTACTGGGGACCTAGGCCACAATCTAAGCATATGCCCTGACTGGGAATAGAACCAGTGACCCTTTAGTTCACAGAGTGGCATTCAAATCAACTGTGCCACACCAGCCAGGGCACAAAAGCCTTCTTATTAGAGGGAAGGGAAGAAGAAATTAAAAAGTTTAACTAGAGTGAGATAAAGTTCACTCAGCTTATAAAACTATTTACTCATGCTATAAATATTGGCATGGACATATGAGCCAATAAAACTTATGAACAACATATATAAAAATCACACTAATTTTTCTAATTTCCAGATAATTCCAAATTCATGAGTGAACAATGGTCTAGCAGCTTAACTCAACATAAGTTTGTATTGAAAACTTTCTTGGTACCTTTGGATATTGAAACATACAATAAAAAAAAGTCCCCTCTCAGAAAGTTTATAAAATAATCAGTCAAGTCTACCACATACAAAATTCATTAAGTCTGCTATATGATCGCTCAAGTTTTTGCATAAACTCAATTCATAGAGAAGAGTATCTATTTTAGTGGGGTCAGGGTAGCTACCCTCAAATATTTCAGAGGAATCTCCATGAGGTTTTCAAAGGAGAAATGAAAGAGAGCAGAAAAAGAAACCCAACAGCTGGGGAGCAAGAACCAACAGATGAACGTGGATCCCCTAGTTACTACCGCAAAGACTAACAGCTCATGAGTATTATCTCAAAACAATCAAGAATTGGAGACCTATGAGATGACCTTTCATGGAAAATTCAAATCAATTCTTGAAGCCCTGATTAGCAGTAATGACACTATGTTTAAAAAACAAAATGTCTAACAACATTTAACTTTGAAAACTAACTTGCACAACTTCTCTGACTTATGACTTAAACCAGGAAAGCTGGAACAGTGAAATCAGAATTAGTTATGAATCTTCTTTCCATGAAACATCATAGATACTCAATATTTAAAGAACAGATATATAGAATCAACAAGATTTAGAGCCATATTAAACACATACACACACATACACCCTACAATGTTTATTAATCTCCATGAAATAAAGACAGACAGATTCACACATAGACACACACTCCCACAACACAATGTCTATTAGCCTGAACGTAATGTATACCTTCAGGTCACCAAATGGATGGTAGACCAGAATCGATATTTCATCTTTCCCAGGGAGCCATGCTTGGGACTATAAAAGGGACCAAGAAGCTGGATATTCCAAAGTGTCCTGGGGTGTTAATTCCATTATCTCATATCATTTTCAAAATATTTATAGACACTAACTTGGAACGACAGTAGGGTGATGTTTACATTCCTTACATATAAATACAAGATGACAAGAAAACACATAAATAAGAGTGTTTTGTGAAAGAGTCGGCCTACTGCTACAAATTGATCATGATCCAACCTGCAACAAATGAACCCTAAATGAAAATAAAGTCTTGAATCATCAATAACAAACTGATGGTTTCTACTAAAATCTATTAAGTAAATAAGCACAAACCAGTATTAGCAGAACACTAAATTACAAGGACTTGACAAAAAGTAGTGAAAAGCTCTGGATGTAAAGGTTTAAAAGACAGGATGGCAAGCATGAGACATCAACTTATCACAGATGGGAGGAACTTAGCTTCCTGAGCAATTTCATCTGTATTGTGTATTAATTTATTAAAATTAATGATAATTCTTAACTTTAATGAATAGAAAAATGACACGATTCTAATACGCTAAACATATATGACAAAAGAATGGCAACATGCCCAGAGAATTGTACTGTGAGTTCATCAAGTGAAAGCCTGGAGAGAGAAGAAATGCAAAATGTATTAGAGCAGGGGTCAGGAAACTATGCCCCAATCTCTGTTTTTGTAGGGCCCATGAAATAAGAACTGACTTTACAGATAATCATTTGCAATCAATTTGATGTCAGTGAACATTAACTTTAACCCCTATTAAATGTTAAGAGCCCCCAGAAGAACTCTATTCTACTAATTAGTAGACTGCCTCACAAAAAATTGTACTTAGTTATTATTACATTTTAAATCCATCAATTAAAATACCTGTGGAAATTTACTCCTGTCACATATCTCTATGATTTGCATTTTATCCCACAAAGTCCAAAATATTTTATCTAACTCTTTACAAAAAAAGTTTGCCAATCCTTATATGAGAATATTAATTTGAATTATAAGGAATACATAGCTTTTTAGGAAATAAAAATATCAAAATATTTGAATTTAGATCTGAGTGTAGTTGGGATTCAGGAAAGAAGTAGATCTGTCTAACAAAGTTTAAAGGTTCAATTTGAAATTAAACGACAGTTACCAAAAAAAAAACAACAAAACAAAACAAACCCAAGAAACTGCAAGTACCATAGTGTTCTCAGATGTAAACCGTAAGAAATTATATGAATAGCAAGGACTATTCTTGAATATACACTGATCTTTTCAACTACACTTGCATACACTGATATCTAACAAAATCATCTTATCAAAAGTAACATTTTTATAGATTGAAGTACAAGGATTTTAAAATAACTTAAACACAGCCCTGTGTACAACTGATAAAGGCTACCAAGGAGTATGGCTCTATACAACAGAACTAAATTCAAGCTGTGCAGATACAGAACAGACTGCATCCCAAAATAGCAATCAAATGGCTGGAAGTATTCAAGAAAACACTGGAAAACTATCTTTTAGGAATGTAACCAAGAAGGTATGTATACTGGATGAAGGATTTTACTATATGACCTTTAAGATTTTTAATTTTTCACTTCTATGAAACATTTGGAAAATCAAGAATCAAGCCCAAAAGACAGTAAGCATTGCTGCTTTGGCCAAACTGTAACCTTAGAATGAACTAATCTAGTGGTCTAAATGCATAGATTTAAAATTTTTTTTTAAAAAGGTAGAAAATTCTGTAAGAGCTCAAATATTAAAAACTTTTTAAAAATTACATTTAAAATAACAATTATAATCTCACCCCTAGCTGTTCTTAAGAGAAAATATTAATTCCAAGATAATAATATTTTGCATCTGGTGTTGTTAATAAAAGTGTTAATAGACTTAATAACTAAAATTATATTAAACCTATGAGTCAAAATTCTGCTTCTATCAGTGGTCTACTCATACATGTATATTTTATAAATATACTCTTCCATTTTATAAGTATTTATACATTGAATAAATACAAGTATCTCCTATGTGCTCAGCAATGTACTAGGAGCAGAGAGTACATAGAAAGACATAAGCTTGTGCTTTTATTCACTTTATGTACATTTTAGTGATCTTATAGCTTTTAAGTATTTAAATAATTGGTATATCCCTTTGTTGCATCAGATATACAAAATGGCTTTTACAGGATCATAAAATAGAATAACTCAATTAGAATCTGAAAGGCTGTGTTCTTATACTTCCTCCATAGTTGAACTTGCTATGTGATCTTGGATCGCTTTCTCCATTTCTTAAGTTTTTCACGGGTATACACGTGGTAGTTACAAAATTCCTTCTAGTTCAGAATTCCAATTAAACCTTCTCACCTTGATTATTTCCACCAATTGATCCACACCACTGTCCCCTGGAAATATTGGTTGTCCTAGCAACAGCTCAGCCAGTACACAGCCTGCAGACCATACGTCTAAAGAGAAAACAAATGCTTATTAATATGTAGCCCAAGTTGAAAAATATTTGTATACATTTTCTAATTTTACTTTCATCACAGAATGAGTATCACAAGCAAAAGACTGCACAATCTAGGACGCAGAAAGAGAGCAAACTATTCCTAATGAATTTTAATTTTTTTAAAATCCTCACCCAAGGATATGTTTATATTGATTTTGGTGGGGTTTGGGGAGGGAGGGAGGGAGGGAGGGAGGGGGAGAGAGAGAAAGAGAGAGAGAGAAACATCAATTGGTTGCTTCCTGTACGTGTCCCAACCAAGGATCGAACTGGCAACTTAGGTATGTGCCCTGACCAGGAATCCAATTCACAATCTTTGGGTGTATGGGATGATACTCCAACCAACTGAGCCACCCAGCCAGGGAGGGCCCTAATGCATTATTTTTTATTTTATTTTATTTTATTTTATTTTATTTTATTTTATTTTATTTATTTTAAAACATGTTTATTGATTTTAGAGAAAGGAAGGGTAGGGGGGAAGAGAGAAACATCAACTGGTTGCCTCCCATATGTGCCCCAACTAGTGATCACAACTGCAACCTAGATTAGATATGTGTTCGAATTGGAAATTGAACCCCCAATCTTTTGATGTATGAGGCGACACTCCAACCAACTGAGCCACACTGGCCAGGGTAGCCCTAATGCATTTTAAAGTTAAGTGTAAAACTTACTAAAGAGGAATCAAAGCCAATAATACTATTCCAATGAAAAGTAAAGTCTATTTATTACCAAATATCAAGTGTTCAAGTCTTTAACAACCAAGATAGGGAATTATAGTAGCAAAACACAGGCATGATTAACTACTTATCATACTTAAAAATAAGGCAAAGTGACATAATCTCTGCATAGTAGCAGGTACTTACAGAGTAGCAACAATTTAGGATTCAATCTCCTATACATAGTTTTAAGCCAATGCAAATTCTGAGAAAAAAATTTTAGGACTTTAAATGGTTGACTTTTATGTTGTAATAGTGACAGAAAAAAAAAGTGCTTAAGTATATTACTCTTTTAAATGTAAAGACAGAAGAATATACTTTATTTCACAAATAAAAAAATAATTTACTTTTAAGTCAGTGAAAACCTCAATCCCTGAGGAAAAAACTGTTAAAAATTTAATTAATAAATTAGTAAGTAATTTAAAGCATACATTCTGGCTTACCCAAAAGAGTCCTGGTTTAAATCTATTGCCCCGGAATAATTACTAATAGCATCTACTTTTTCATTTAAAAGTATTACTAAATGGGAAGACAAATTACATAGTCACTCTATTTATAGCCCACCATTAAGTCTTCCTGCAAGGAAAAGTTAATTTTGGGTTTCTGGATGCCTGAGATTGCTGGAGTTTGTATGAACCAACAATCAAGTGCTTTATACAGATGAACATATATCATTGCTGGGCTTTCCTATCTACCAGTAGGAAAGAAGTATAGTAAAATGGCATGGAAACAACAAATAATTTAAGAGGTCTGATGTGGTAAGATGCACTATGAAGAGGGATTGGAAATCCTTATGCCAGTTACTACTTTTTACAAACCAACAAAAACAATGACACAAAATTCACCTAAGAACTTTAAGCAGATTCTATACAGTTCCAAGTAATGGCAACCAAAATACCTACTTTGCAAAAAGACCAAAAGAGCCCTCCTTGATATATTAGGTAATTGATAAATGAAGCAAATATGAAAACCTCGTAGGAAATCTTCACTTTACTCAAAGCCTATAGTAATCTAACTCTTGAAATCAAGTGGAAAAATATATCTCCTTATTAATATAAATGTTTTATTTTGCTTTAGGTTTAAAAATATCCCTTTACCTAGCTAATTAGATAAAAGGTAATATGAACTCCCTTCTTTCTGCCTTAATACAGGAAAATTCATCTCAGAAGACAAGCCTAGAAATTTGCAGGGCAATAATTAACTACACTTTCATTAAAAAAACGTGTAATTGCGGGAAACACTTTCTTAGGCAGGATTCGAGGAGTAAAACATAAAGGAGTACTACTGCTTAGTGGTTGCCACAGAAGAGTAAATCAAAAGATTCAGGTGGCAATTACACTAGTGGCCTTCAATACATGTTAACTCAGACAAATTACTAAAACTAAGAAATTTATTCACTTTTTGGCAGACACCAAAATCTCTCCTACTCTTACTTCATAGGACAAATGGATGATATTCTCCAAACAGAATAAAACAGAACTAAACAGAAGGCACAAAAAAAATAAGTGCTTTGGCACAGTGAATTTTCTGGTTGTTTGGAGTTTAAGCCAAAATAGTATTCTGTTTCCTACTTTAATTTATGGTAAAAAGCAATGTTCCAAGACCATCTAGTTTAACAAACTTAATTCATAGGTAAGGAAACTAAGGCACCATAGAGTCCAGTGATTTGTCCAAGGTAAAGCTACTGGACAGTCAGGTAGGCCTGGATTCCAATTTCAATTCCCAGTCAAAATACCATTGTCTTGAATCACTGCCTATCATTATAGGATAATTAACTGTTTCTTCAAGTGTCTGTAAGCTCAATTCCTTATCTTAAGCAAGTTATTTGTCTCAATCTACCACTTCTTAGTAAGACAGTATAATCAGAGCCATCAGTCTTAGAACTGTGGTTTTATCCAAATATGACTATGACTATAATCTAGCCAGAACCAGCCAGCTACTCTTTCACTTCAAACATCATTTAAAATATTTCTGAAAGGCACCTGTATTAGTATACTTCTAAATACCTTTGTTTTTGTCTGTTTATAGACATTCCAGAGTGTTAAGAGGCAAGTGTCCCAAATATGAAGAGGGAGGACAAATCTAGGCTTATTAGGGTATGAAAGGCCTGACAGATAAATCGGTGGCATATGGTAAGTCGTAAGCCTGTAAAGTCAGAAATGAGAAGTTGGCTTTAGCCATGCAAAGAAGGGTGCTGGGAACAGGTACTCAAAACACCCAGAGAGCTCTGGCTGGTATGGCTCAGTGGACTGAGTTCCGGCCTGCAAACCTAAGGGTTGCTGGTTCGATTCCCAGTCAGGGTATATGCCTGAGTTGCAGGTCAGGCTCCCAGTTGGGGGCGCATAAAAGGTAGCCACACACACTGATGTTTTTCTCCTTCTCTTTCCCCCTCCCTTCTCCTCTCTAAAACTAAAAAAATAAAATCTTTAAAAAAAGAAACAAAACCCAACATCCAGAGAACTGGTTCCTAATAGAACAGGCTACACTATCTTTTTTGTCAAAAGATTCGAAAGAACTGGTAGGCACATGGACATGTACAGAAGTAATACACTCTTAAGAGGTTCAAAGGTTTGTATAAACGTTCCTTAATGTGTCAGATGATGTGGTCATAACTTTATTAAAGAAACTAATTGCATTTACTTAGGAACAACTCAGCTCAACATCTGGTATGCAGATGATCAATAGCATATATCTGAATAGAAAGCAGCTGGAAAATCCAATGACATCTCCAAAGATAAAGGGCTGAAACTTGCTCTTGGGGAGAGTCAAGTTAACAAATATTACAAAAAGAATACTAATTTACATTTCTATAGTCCTTTCACTAACATTTAACCTTCATAGCCACTCAGAAAGGTAGGCAGAACTACTAGTAATATCCACTTTACAGCTTAGCTAAGTAGTAATAAACCTGGAACTCAATCTAGTTCTACTCCAACCGAATATCCTTTTCATTATTTCTTATGTGCCCCTTACCATCGCATATAATGTAATCATGATGAAACTTTGAGCATTACATATACCACACAAACACACAATTATACTCTCTATCCTTCAGTGCCACAGGTCTCAGGTATGGTCTACAGAGCCCTAGACCCCCGGGGACCATTTTAGAGTTCATGAAGGGCAAAGTCTTTTCATATGAATACTAGGATGTTATGTGCCTTTCACTGTGTTCACATTTGCACTGGTGGTGCAAAAGAAATGGTAGGTAAAACTACTGACCCCTTGGCATTTTGCCCTTTGACATTATAAAATTGGTAGTGTATTTCTGTTTAGTGGTCTTTGTTAATGTCAGAGAATTTCTACTTATATCAAAAGACAAAAATCATCCAAGTTCTGGTTTTTCATAGGTTTCTGTTACTGGGGTTTGGGGTTTGGGGTTTTTGTTTTTAATCGTTATTATTTGCTTGGTATTTGTATGCTTGTTTCTGTTTTTGGACTAAGGAATTATCTCAAAAGACAATTTATAATTAAAATGTCTAGGCACTTCTGGACAAGATGGAGACGTAGGTAGATACACTTTGCCTCCTTGCACAGCTGAAAGAAGGACAACAGCAAATTTAAAAACAAAAAATAACCGTAACTGCCAGAAAATCAAACTGTATGCAAGTCCAACCACCAAGGAGTTAAAGAAGAAACATTCATCCAGACCAGTAGGAGGGGAGAAGATGGGCAGCTGGGACAGGCAGGACGCGCAGCAAGGTGGCAGTTGGATGACCAGGTGGGCGAGATGGCTGCTGGTGGACCAGGCGGTCCCATATTTGTGTGTAGATAAACTGGGAGGAAGAGTTGGGGAGCGAGACAGACTGCGAAACCCAGGGTTGCAGTGTAGGAACACAAAGCCTCAAAACCTCTGGCCGTAAAAATCTGTGGGGGATATGGCAGAGAGAAAAACTCCCAGCCTCACAGGAGAGTTTGTTGGAGAGACCCATAGGGTCCTACAACATACACAAACCCACCCATCTGGGAATCAGCACCAGAAGGGCCCAGTTTGCTTGTGGGTAGTGGGTGAAGAGACTAAAAGCCAGCTGAGAACCAAGCAAGCGGTACTGTTCTCTCTTGGACCCCTCCCCCACATACAGCATCACAACGCAGTGACCTGGGTTGCTCCACCCCTTACAACATATCAGGGGCGCAGAAACAAAAAAATACGGCCCAAATCAAAGAACAGATCAAAGCTCTAAAAATAGAACTAAGCCACAAGGAGAGCGCCAACCTATCAGGTGTAGAGTTCAAAACATTGGTAGTCAGGATGCTCACAGAAATGGTTGAGTATGGTTGCAAAATGGAGAAAAAAGTGAAGGCTATGCAGAATGAAATAAAGAAAAATATACAGGGAAACAACAGTAAAGAGCAGGAAAACGGGACTCAAATCAATGACTGGGAGCAAAAGGAACCGATAAACATTCAACCAGAACAGAATGAAGAAACAAGAATTCAAAAAAATGAGGACAGGCTTAGGAACCTCTGGGACAACTTGTAGTATGTTGACTCCTATTACAGAGCAAAAATGGGGTAGAAGAGGAAGTCAATGAGTGAAGCAAATTGTCTCCATTCAACCCTTTCTGTCACTAAAGATCTTCCATAAAGACTTCTAAAAAGTCAGAATTTTTTTTTAAAGATCTGAATTAAAATTAAATAATTGAGAGAGCATAATAGGAATGTCAACAATATGACTGACAGTATCTCAGTACTTTTCTTCATAAACTCAATGAATGCAAATCCCCCAATTGTTGATAAAGCTCAGAAGTGAGTATTTCAGGGAAATTTGAAAAAAAGAGAGAAGAAAGGTATACTTAGGATTTACCTGAAAATTTAAGTTAAAAACAGATGTAATCATAAAGAAATCATGCAGTCATAAAGAAATAACTTTATTTATTTGAAAAATCCAAGAAACCTAAAAGTAGAATAGTAAATATATTTTAAATTCTAAAAGGTAATATTTGAAATACTGTACACATTTTTACATATCAATCTTTAAGAAAAAGACATTTTAGAGCATACCCATTTTTATAATATTTAAGTACAAGTATAGATTAGTAATACTAAATTACTAAAAACAAGATTCAATTGATAGTTACAAGCCATTATATTCAGATTCAGTACTTACCTATACTAGAGGTATAATCAGTGGCTCCAAAGATCAACTCTGGTGCCCTATAGTACCGAGAACAGATATACGAAACATTGGGTTCTCCTCGGACCAGCTGCTTTGCACTAACGAAAATAAAAAGCAGAAAAATTTAAAACTAAATCTAAACCTTCAAAGAACCTAAACTGCTCACAAAACTAAATGCTTAACTAAGATTCATGTAATTCCAATCATGAAACTTATGAAAATAAGAAAATATGAATAACTATCCCTGAAAAAATATAACAGCATGACATTAATTTTAAAAATAACAGTAATTTTTAAAGACTACATTTGTCAACTGTTACCTAAGGAAAAAGAGATTAAAAAGTCATAGAAGGATATATGTTGAATTTCTTCTGATCTTCTGGTCCCTAAATTCCACCTCTAAAATACAAAGAAGAAAGGGCAGAAAAGTAAGAGGTAGCTGTCCTCACCAAAAAGCATACTAATAAATATAATGTAAGAATGTATATTTTTTACTCAGTGGGTTTTGTTTTTTTTTTTAAGGGTAAGAAACTGGCACTCTTTTATAATTTGACATCTGACTCAGAGGGAATATCCCAAGACTTACAGACCCAATCTATCTTTCCACCATTTTAGTCCATTTATAAACTGTTAGAACATCCAATACCCAATAAAAAAGAAAGGCTCACTCCTTTAAGACAGAGATTATTCATAGCCTGTAAATTCTAACTGTTGTCCTGGGTTTAATTACGTTCTCTAATCCAATTTTCCTTCTAAAAATCAGTGCAATGTACAATATTTTAAACATTAAAGTAAATTAAAATTAGTTTCTTTGGAGATGTTCCCCAAGATAACTTGAAGACATGCTGAAATAAACTGCTGTAGAAGCTAACTATTTTAGTATACCATAATAACAAAGACAAATACAGGAAATGAATACAAACAAAGTGAGCAAAAAGAAAAGGGAAGAAAATTTTGAGGTAAAGGTACAGGAAAATCAGTATAGGAACAGATGAAAATGGTCATGAGGGTTTCAAAGTTTGGGCTTTCTTTTTCTTTCATTTATTCTTGGTCCATGATAACTTTGACCTTAACCTATTCTTCCTTCCTTACAAGTTTTGGAGGTGGGGAGGCAGTTTGTTTTTTGATATCCTCCACAAATACTGATGCACAGCAACCATTTTATAAATTAATAAATGTTATAATCCCTGGTTTTAGACTGCATGAAAATTACAACATTTCAGTGATTATGACACTTATTAACAGATGAGGCCTTTCTACCTTATGAGAATGTCTCTTTTAATTAAAAAGACAGATTCTAATTATGTAGTCAGGAATTTACTAGATGATAAAGATAACAATGGAAACTCCACAGCCTACAGATTTTTTTTAAATCCTCACTTGAGAACATGCTCATTGATTTTAGAGAGAGGGAAAGGGAGGGAGAGAAACATTAATGTGAGAGAGAAACATTGATCAGTTGCTTCTCAATTGGGCCCTGATGAGAATGAATCGCAACCTAGGTATGTGCCCTAACCAGGATTAAACTTGTGACTTTTTGGTTTACAATATGATGCTCCAACTGATCCACACAGGCCAGGGCAGCCAGCAGATTTATTCACTACTGGGTGGAATGAATTTCTTTTGGTTCAGGTCAGGCTGGCTGTAAATTCCTGCTCTTTGAGGGTGAGAGCCTCTAATACAGTAGTCAAATATCATCTTAAGAAAGCCCAACTAGCCTTTCACCTAGTTCCAGGCCCTATTTCATCTAGTAAAGAATTACTAACAAGAGAGTCATAACTGTTTTGTTCAAGTCATCATCAACATGGCATTAAGGATCTAAAGTATATCCCAAACTCTACATGCCCAAAACAACTGTTAAAAACAAAAAAAGCCAACTTCTTAAATTAGAACTATTAAAAATAAGCTATTACCATACAAGTGAAATCCCTATTCTAAATATATTAAAACAAAGCAACAGATTCTAAGTATCAATGAAATGAACGTTAGCAATAGTGCTGACACTATGGTGAGAGGATAACCTCTATTAAACTTGATGTTTCACAGTCTTTTTACAGTCCCTACCAGTCAGTCACTATCAGGAGGGAAGATACTGCCTAAAATAAAACATGATTTGGGCAGTTTGTCCTACAGATAATAATAGTAGTGCTTAGTTTCAACTATCAAATTAGTTTTGATTTACTATCCCTCACCCTTTCTGATAGTTGAAGGGATAGAGTTATAGCAAACGAGCTGGATCCTGAAATTAGGAAACTGTAAAATGAGAATGGTCTGGAAAAGGACATTCTTGTAAGACTAAGAATTAAATCATGGCAGAGCAGATGTGTTTGTTAAGACTCTCTGAAAAGATAGCCGGTATAGAATGTATCCTATGTTAAACCTCAACTTTAAACTGAAGGTTGATATAAAAATATTTCAAAGAGGTGGGAATACCAGTATAAGGAGGTGTGTGTCAATATTTATAAAGAACCTAGTTAAAAAGTAAAAATTTGGGGAAATGAAAAAAATTGGAGAGATTTCAAGTCATGTGGAGATGTCTTAGGGACTGAGAGGAATGTGATTACTCTAGGTGATTACACCAGAGAGTACGTAGAAGATTAAATGCCTGAATTACATGGGGATATAGGTTTGACTTCATGCTGAAAGGTTAGATCAAAGGCACAAGATGCTGAACATTATGGAGATGGAAAGGATGAAGTCTTATTACACAGTATATTACACCAACGAATGAGTTTAAGAAAACAGAAAGTGCACTGAAACTGCAAAATATAGAGAATGAAAGACTAAATTATAGGAAAAGGAAGAAAATACAGCTACTAGAACTTTTACCTCATTTCTATACTGAGGTTAATTCTGAATTTAAAAAAATACACAGTAATGTATAATAAATATTTTTTTAAAAATTAGTTCTTAACTGAAAAGAATATATAAACGTAATAAAAAATTCAAACAATACAAAAGTACAATCAGTGAAAAGTTTTCTGACTATACTATACTCCCAGTTCCCCTTCCTCGTGCAATCAATGTCACAGAATTATTATGCATCATTCTAGAAATAATCCATGCATATATTTGTATACATGTGACTACCCTCCGTGTTTGTAAAACACAAAACGGTATACACACACACACACACACAGTCTTCACCTTGCTTTTTAAATTTAGAATTTCTTAGAGATCATTCCTTTTTAATTCATAGAAACCTCATGTCATAAGTTATCTGGTTATTCTCCTACTGACAAACATTTATTTATAAACAATGCTACGATAAAAATCCCTTCATAGATACTATTTTGTAAATGTGTATTTCTAAGGGAATAATTCCTACAAGTTAAATTGCTGGATGAAAGGCTATAATAATTCTAACAAAATTTACCAAAACTACTCTGTCAAGAAGCTGCACTAGTTTATATTCCCTGAATAACAACGACAGTATTTTCAGACTGACATTAAAAGAGAAATATATTTTTAAAAAACACATATGGGTGCAAGGGTAAGGGAGGAGAGGAGGGAAGACAGAAGAAAAAAGAGCTAGCTTACCTTCCAAAGTCACAGAGTTTTAAGACAGCTGTATCAGGGTCCAACAAGAGGTTCTGTGGTTTAATATCCCGATGGCAGATTCCAAAGGAATGAATATAGGCTAAACTTCGGAACAGCTGATACATATACAACTGGAATAAATAGTAAAAATTAATTGAATACTTTCTATCCCAAATAATCAAAATCCTTAATCAAGAAATAAAGTAACAGATTTTCAAAACAGAACAGGTGAAATGCTAGGGATTATTAGCACGCAATCTTCCTTTAACAAGTCTCACACCATTTGTATATTAATTAGCTAATTAAGATTTCAATCATGTATTTACACGATCCTTTAATAACTTAAACAAGGGTATTTTACAATGTGCCTTGCAATTTTTTATTTTACTAACATTGCACAACAAACCCTCCTAACATGTTTCTTTTTCCAAATAGATGAAAAGCTCAGAGAGGTCTTCCAAATCATGTGACTAATAAGTAACAAAGTTTAGACTTAAAAGACAAGTATTCAGTTTATGTTATCATTCTTCAAGAGTATCTGCAGTTTCAATTTCAGAATAATAATTTTCATAGATGTCAGTCCCAAAGGCTATTGAGAAAGAGACTGGAAAAATTCTGTGTGAACTGAGAAAATCTATAATCAATGATCTATCAAGATATCAGCGACGGTGTTAATTGCATCACAACACTTATATACTTCAGAAATAGACTTTAAAGTGCCATTTAAAAACATCCTAGCTGACTACTGACATCAACTTAAAAGCATATTTATTTCATTTTTATTAGGAGAAAAGCAACAAGAAGCCACGTCTGCATGGAAGAAAGAATCAGACTCTTGACTGGGGAGGAGAAGACTTTATGACAAAAGTGAGATACAGTTGATCCTTGAACAACACGGGTTTGAACTGCGAGACCCACTTAAAAGTGGATTTCTTCAACAATATATTAGACAATCAGAGGAGAACCAAGATGGTGGAGAAGTGAATGGAAGTCACACTGACCTCCTCCCACAGCCAATCTGGAATTACAACTAAATTGTGGAGAAATCACCTGGAACAAACAAGTGAACAATAGCGAGAGAGGAGCCTTATAAGCTCGGACAGACAGAAGAATCAGCTTTAGCACAACCTAACTGCCACTTACCCTGGGCTCTGGCAAAGGCGGGGGTAGAGTGGGCTGGAGATGCCTGAGGAGAGACTGAAGAAGGCGGCTTTGGGGAGAGAACTGAGAGGGTAGCCAGAGGGATCCCGGTGCTGACTCATCCCCGTACTGTAGCAGCCATTTGGCTCAGGCAGACCACTACCCTGAGCAGCTCGGCATGAGAGGACACAGGAGCCCCACTCCCAGGCGGGACTCTGCCCCACCCTGTGTGGTACCTAAGCCTGACTGCTGAGTGAATAGATTAACAACTGAAGGAGACAGCCACAGACAGTAGATTCCTAGAAGTCTCGAACAGACTGCCTAAGGTCAGAGAGGGTCAACAGCTGAAATCATCAGAGGCAGATCCATAAAGAAAAAACAGCAGTCTCCTACCATAGAAGTTCACACCACAAGGTAAGGAAATCAAGACAGATCAACTGAGGAAGCAGAAGCAAAAAAGAAGAGTCTCACAAATAATGGAAAGAACAAGAAACACTCCCCAATCAAAGGGAAAGGAGGAATCCCCACAAAGAGAACTAAATGAAATAGAGGAAAGTAAACTATCAGATATTGAGTTCTGAACAATGGTTCAAAGGAAGCTCAATGAGCTCAGCGAGCTCAAAGAGAATTACAAAAAACTACAGGGAAACTATGAGGAACTTACTGCAAACTATATCAATATGAAAAAGGACATAGAAACTATGAATAAGAGACAAGAGGAAACGAAGAATACCATTTCTGAATTGAAGAACACAGCAGAAAGAATCAAAAGCAGGCTCAATGAAGCCAAGGAAGGAATCAGCACACTGGAAGATAAAGTAGAAAAAAAGCTCCCAGAAAGAGCAAGAAAATGAAAAAAGACCCAAAAAGAATGAAGAGGCATTTAGGGAAATTCAGGACAACCTGAAACATAATAATATCCATATAATAGGGATTCCAGAAGGAGAAGAGGAGCAATGGATGGAGAACCTGTTTGAAAAAGTAATGATGGAAAACCTTCCTAATTGGAGGAGAGAAAAAGTCACACTAAGTCCAGGAAGCACAGAGGGTCCCATTCAAGAGGAACCCAATGAGGCCCACTCCAAGACACATCATCATGAAAATGGCAAGTAACGAAGACAAACAGAGAATCCTAAAGGCAGCAAGGAAGAAAGAGGTAGTAACATATAAGGGAGCCTTGATACAGCTAGCAGCTGACTTCTCAACAGAACCACTACAAGCCAGAAAGGAATGGCAAGAAATATTCTAAGTCATGAAAAGAAAAGGCCTGCCAGCAAGGCTCTCAATTAAAATTGAAGGCGAAATAAGGAGTTTCCCAGACAAAAGAAGGCGAAAAGAATACACCTCCACCAAACCAGCATTGCAAGATATTCTAAAGGGACTGCTTTAAGAAGATGAAGAGAAAGAGTCTATGAATACTCTGTTCCTGTCATAGTCACCAATAATTGATATTACCAATATCTTTAATACTTATCCATCTGATTGTGACAATAATGTGTTATTTTGTTACTTTATTATTTGTTAGACAAAGAACATGTATGAATGACCCATGGACATGGACAACAGAGTGGGAACTGACTGTGGGAGTGGGGGTTGGGGTGGGATGGGTGGAGGAGGACAAAGAGAGAAAAACTGAGACAACTGTAATAGAATAAAGATGATTTAAAAAAAGAGAAACAACATATTGTACAATCTTATGGAGATTTCCTTACTACTGTGAAGCAATCGCATTGATTACACTAGGCTACCATAAAGCTATCATGTTGCTGCTTCTTTGTTATCAGTGTATGAGTCACTGTAAGTGTAAATAAACTGAATTTTTCACATTACATTTTCAATTTTTTGTCTAGTGCAATACTTATAGTATCTAGAATGTTTTGGACCATACAAAACAATATTGATACAGGTACTGCAAAATGATTTATCAGATGATGAATCTTAAACTTACAGTATCAATAAATACAGTATAGTATTGTAATGCATTTTCCTTAAGATTTTCTTACTAATATTTTCTTTATTTTATTGAAATACAGTATATAAAACATGTAACATACAAAATACATATTAATCAACTGTTTATCATCAGTGAGGCTTCCAGTCAATAGCAGGCTATTAGTAGTTAGGTTCTGGGGGAGTCAAAAGTTAGACATAAGTTAGACATAAATTTTTATCTTGGCGGCGGGGGGGGGGGGGGTCAATGTCACCTTTTACACCCCACCTTAAAGGGTCAACTGCCTATCTTAAAGCTGTTTACTCCAAGGTCCAAGTTCTTGTTCACTTTAAATTTTTCTGACTACTCACTTTCTGATCTCTACCCCAAAGTTAACATACCATGGAAAGACTTTTTGAAATGATTCAAAGAAAAGATACTAGTGGCTTGGTAAAAAACAAAAACAAAAACAAAAATACAACAAAAAAGATAATTAAAGGTCAGATAAAGCGTTGTCATCAGGCACCATATTTAGAGGTTAATGTTAAGACTTAGTTAATTAAAGTTAACATAAAACCTACTTTCCTTCACACAGGCATGATGAAAATGGCAGACAGTTGAAATTTCAGTACATGCCTAACATTATATTGAACTAAAGCTGAAAAAGTTTAAGCCTTTTTTAAAATAAAGCATGATATAAAATGTAGATATCATCTTTAATTAGGCCAGCATTTTGCCCCCAAAGTTAGAATTATGTAATTTGGGTACCCATAACTCTCTAAAAGCTTCATAATTCTAATAATTGTATCATTGTTCAGAGTGAACCTCCAAGTCTTAAAGCTTACTCTTATAGAGTTCTAAGAGTTTAATTTGCTGCCACTAAGAAAATAAGTCCCTATAAGAAACTGAGTTCACAGACATTAATTTACTAAAGGAACTTTATCAACTGTGTTAAGACACTGATGTCTATGTCAGCAAGAATCAGAAAAAATGTTTTCTTTGCTAAAAATGCTTAAGAGTTTAAATGAGGTTAAGGTGTCTTTTTACTATATTCATTCATCTGAAAGATCTACTCTATCTCTATTCTCTTCACGTTATTTTTTGAAAAGTCAGGATAAAAAATGAAATATGCAACTTCATAGCTTTTTTTTGTTTGACTATAAAAGTGTATTTATAGGATAATTGAAAGGCTTGGTGTAATAAAAAGACAGCAATAACAATAACGAGAAAAAACTGATCATTTGACAAGCACTATTCTAAATGCTTTGCATACACTATTTCGTTAAATTCTTATGTATGTAATAGATACTATAATTATGTCTAGTTTATATATAAAGTAACTGAGGCACATAGGTTAAGCTATCTGTCCAAAAACACATACTCAATACTCTGAGGTGGTTTGGGTAAGTGTGCTTCTTTCAATTATTATTTCTTTATTTTGCCATATTCTTATTCTGTTAACTAAAAGTACAAAAATATAATTATTAAAAAGCTTGACCACTATGTAAAAGACTGGAATGATAAATTCTTTTAGAAATTCAGATATTTAGCACATTTTGAAATTTGAGATTTGCTTAATATGTACTGTGTCAAACTGAGTTTGTTTCACCTTTTGTTTATTTAATTATTGTAGTCACTCTGTGAGATTGACATTTATCCTAATTTTTGGGAAGAGAGATAACTGAGGCCCAATTAACAGTTTGAACACAACTTGAATCCAGTTACAAAGTTATCAGATCTAACTCAAGTCCAATATCCTCTCTTTCCTCAGTGCTTTAAAACAAATAGTGGAATAACAACTTTGTTCCTGGTTCACAAAAATGCATCCAGCTCTATTGTGTACCCAGACTGTCGTTAAGTACGTCTTTTCAATTAAAAAAATGCAAGATCACAACAATGATTTGCCAGGGATCTGTTTTAGAACTGTATTTAGAAATCCACTTAATTATGAGAGATGTTCATCAGAAAAGCAAATGTACTAAAAAATTTAACTTATATGTAACTGTCATTAACTACGAAGTGACCAGTACTATAAAGGGAGGGAAGAAAGAGGTCTGAAGCAATAAACTCATAAAACATACACAACTTCAGAAAATGTGAAAGTCAAAGAGTCACAAAAAACTGCAGTTGTATTTTGATAACATGTATGCCACATAAGTTATTAGATAGTGAGGTCAACGAAGGCAAAAGTTACATGTATCAATTTTACTTCCATCTTTTTCACAAAAAAATATTTTTATACAACTATGCAGTATAAGTGAATGAGATCAACTAATCAATTCCAGACAAGATTTTTATCTTTTCAGGTCCTTAAGCATAAGCATAGGTTTGTGTCCTCCAAGACTAATGTCCAGGGCCAATAGCTCTGACTCTGGAAGGACTGTGGTTATATAAAAGAACCATTCTTTTTTCCACAAGGGGAGAAAAGGAATGTTAGATCTTTCTTTGTATGCCAACTTCAATGTGCATAATAATATTATTTTTAAAAAATACAGAATCCAAAGACCTCATCCAAATATATGCTGTCAGAAATACAACAAAAGATGAGCTTAAAGGTCTTCACTACCTTATTTATAACAACAATAAAAAAAACTGAAGGGAAAAACAATATGTCCATTAACAGGTCACCAGTTGAATAAATCAGCATACAGCCATGCAACAGACTAATATACAGCCATAAAAAGAAAGACAAAATAACTCTATATCTACCTACCTATCTACCTACCTACCTGAGTGATCTCCAGAATGTACATGTTTTTAAAAGATGTTATTTATTTATTTAAGGCATGGGAAGGGAGGGAGGAAGTGAAAGAGTGAAACATCAATGTGAGAGAGAAACAGCAATCAGTTGCGTCTCATACACACCGCAACAGAGGATCAAACCTGTAACCCAGGTATGTGCCCTGACCAGAAATCAAACCAGCGACCTATTACTTTGTGGTATGATGCCAATCCAACTGAGCCACACCAGTCAGGGCCAGAATATATTTCCAATTAAAAAAGGTAGAGGAAATGTATAAATTATGTAACCTTTTACATATAAAGGAAATGGGGTGATAAAATAATTATACACATTTGCTTACTTAGAATGTAAACACTTAACTCGGGGGGAGGGAAGGAACACCTAGGATAGAGGGAACAGGGATAAAAGCTAAATTTCTTTAACTGTATATATCTTGTTTTGTAGATTTTACTTTGGAACTACGTAAATATTTTCTATTTTGATGTAAAATTTAAAGTAAAATTAACTTAAAAAAATTTTAAAACACAATCTATAATAAAAGTAAAATTAAACAAAACTTAGTAAGGCATAATCAAAGAAAGAAATGATTCAATATTTCTTTAAAGTAGAGAAATGTGACTGTTTATCCTAATGGGATATATATTGTGGGAATAAAAAGAGCTGCAAAAAGATCTTAATTATTTTCAGCAGGTATTGTTAGTGTTGGTATTGCTATCCTAAGACTGTTGTATGTTTAGTATGGTATAGAACAAGTAAATAATTATACTGTCATTGAAAAATAAAATTTTTAGTATAAGAGAAAGGAAATACAGATGGTAGATTGTAAACCCTTCCAATATTTAATTAGAAATATCAATATGAACTCACAGTGTGTTCATCTTCAAGATGAATAAAAGACGCACTTTATCTCTGAAAAAGTTATCCACATATTTCCTAGCTCTGCCTACTAAAAAGACCTAAAAACAGTAGGTCTTGCAACCCTGTGGCAAGTAGCTCCCTAAAAAATCCAGACTGTGGTGTCTAAATACCATTTCACACTAAGAATAAGTTCCCCTTGAACGAAAAGGCTCATTCCAAGTCTGGGAAAGAAATGTGTAAGATGAACCTAGAGCACTGTCATGCTAGAAAGAAAGGAAGCTATCAAAGATAATAAGACCTGTTTAAGAAGCTTTAAAACAAACTCAACAACAGCAAAAAAATACCTCATTGGTCACCTTTGGAGGATGCTATGGAACCAATAAATTACTATAAATTTTGTTAAGTAAAAGGGAAATAAATATATATCCTGTCTTATATAAACTGTTCCTTGGGTTAATGAAATAGTTGACATAGGCAAGAGTCCATTTATGGACCCATTATACTAGCTTATAAATTAAAAAAGAATAATAACATTAAAATATCATTTTATAACTGTTAAATGAATTAATATGTTTAGGCAACTGTCATAAATGACGACAAGCATCACAAAAAGAAAGACATCATGTTCTTCCTTACGAAAGCACTCAACACTACATATGAAGTAGCCTTGATTCCTATCACCAATTTTTGGGAAATACAGAGGAGAGTAATACACTATATTATACTACACTGATCTAAGCAGTAAAATCCAGACCAAGAAACTGTAGGTCAAATTACCCAGTTTCTTTACTAACAAAGTTGAGAGAGAGAGAGAGAGAGAGAGAGAGGGAGAGAAATTAGAGATTATAAGAAACATTAAGAAGCACATCTGGCAACTATAATATATGGACATTACTTGGATTCCAATTCTAACAAAGGGATTTTTAAAATATATATGAAATATTAGAAATATAAATAGCAATCGGATATTTAATTAGAATTGTACTGGATAAATTCTTAGTCATTCTGTCATGAGTTCTATCAAATAAACAAGATGACATTGGTATTAGGTAACAAAAATTAACACCTTGATAAGAGTCTATGTATATTTAAAATTATCAGAAGTTTAAACTTCAGCTATAGATACAATGTATCTATAAATGGCAATAAAACATGAATTTGGTCATACTAATAACTACATTGCCCTGGCTGGTGTGGATCAGTGGACTGAGTGCTAGCCTGTGAACCAAAAGGTTGCCAGTTCAATTCCCAGTCATGGTACATGCCTGGGTTGCGGACCAGGTCCCCTACTGGAGATGGGCGAGAGGCAATCATACAATTATGTTTCTCTCCCTCTCTTTCTCACTTCCTTACCCTCTTTAAAAAAATAAATAAAATAAAATCTTAAAAAAAACCCCCACTATATTTTATAATTTTATATGATATGCTTGCTCTAATTTCAGTCTGTGGCACAACACATACATCAGAATCTTTTTTTTTAAAAAGGTGCTACGCCCAGCAAAATTAAAGTCCACAACTGTCTGTGAAAAAGTCACTTGTAAGAAAAATGACAAGTATCTTTAATACCCGAGTTATGAAGGCAAAGGTTTCACACTTTAAAACTGTACAAGAATTTAACGAAGTTCTAGCAATACCTACTTTGAAGCATTTCCCTCTTGGGATTAGATACAATAATATAGTTAAAACACACCTAGCCCTCTCCCTGAGTCATGATAATTAACTTTGTAAAATGGGAAATTGCTCCATTTTTACATACCTTGACATAGATCACAGGAAGCGTCTGTTTGGCTCGACTATAGTGTCTGGCAACTCTGTATACTGTTTCCGGAACATAGTCCAGCACCAGATTAAGATAGACCTCATCTTTCTGAAAAAGTTTATTAAAAACAAAAAAAGAAGATTAGAAACTAGTCCTTAAATTCAAATTAAGAGTAAATGCTGTTTACATTCACTCATTCAGATTAAAAAGAACACTTTCATGTGTTCAATTTGAATTACACAAAATTAAATCAGAATATAACCACCATAATGACAATCTACCACATCTTTTCAGCACTGTTAAGATTCCTAATCATATTTAAACTATTATTTAGGTTATATGATTTTAAAGGATATTACCTATCACAAAATATCATATTTTCTAGGAAAGGTGTCAGAGTAGTAAAGTGAGTACTGAATTGGGAGCTAAAATAGTGCATTACTAGCCCTAGCTTGGCTACTAATTGATATGCACAAGTCACTTATACCTCTCTTGGTTTCAGTTTCTTCAACTGTAATAAGAAAAGTTGAAGTAGATGTTCTTCAAAATTTCTCTAACATCTACAAAAAAGGTTCTGTGGTTATCTGATAGTCTATACTTAGTAGAACAACCACTTAGTAGAACAGTTAATTGTCTTCTACAATTATTGAAAGAAAAAGAACTTATAAGGCAGCAAATTACCATACTCACAGGTATTACTACAGGTCACATGTTTAAACATCCATTCTCAGCAGCATAAAGAAACCAATCCAAGATAATGGAGAGAAAGAAGGGAATTCCAACTAAGTACCAAGTAGGAAAGAGGAGCAGAGCACTACCCTTACCCTGAAGAACATGTGAACAATATCAGAGAAGTAAACTAAAGCAGAAAACAAAGTTGAGAATCACTGTGTTCAACTCTAGAATTGGCTGCTACTGAGTGGGAAAATCTGCAGGTAAACAAACTTTCACAATCTTACCAATTAGAAATCATCTTATCTACCACACTGAAGTGAAGAATTTCAATCTTCAGTGTTTACTGAAAGTTCAGCGAGTATTTTCTATATGTCAGTAACCACTGCAAAGGAAGTAAGGGTACAGGTAAAAAAAAAAAAAAAGATGACACCTAAACTGAGTATGAAAGGAGCGTTTCAGGCAGAAAGAAAATCATGTGTGGTCAAAGAGCACAGGAGAGCTCAGAAAACAGTTTAGTGAGACAGCACACCATTGACCTTACTACCTTTTCACTATCCTTCACTCTCTCATGTTCTTCTCTCTTCCCTTTCATATCCAGCTTAAAGTTCATGGTCTGTCATTACCCTCATTCTCTAACACAGGGATCTGTAAACAACAGTAAAGGCATGCTGCCTGGTTTGATAAGGTTTTATGGGAATGCACTGATGCTCATTCACTTAAGTACTGTCTATAGCTACTTTTGAGCTACTACAATGACAGGCTTGAGTAGTTGAGACAGAGACCATATAGCCTGCAGTATCAAGAATATTTACTATATGGCCCTGTATGAAAAAGTTTGCCCAGTCTGCCCTACTTGTTTGATAAACCTCAACCCTGGTTAAGTCAAGCTTTCCACATATTCCCTACCTGTACCAAAGAGATGAGCATGGCTGAAAACCTAAAATTGTGCTGACTGACCTCACATTAAATTCATCTTCACGAAATTCAATCAGCCCATCAGTAATACATTTGCCTAGTCTATTCACTTTTCCAAACTACCTGATTTCTTCTCTTCAATTTCCAAAACCTTTCTTCCTATTCTCATCTTCAGCTGATGACCTTGCTTGTAACCACTGCATATGCCCAACTTCAGCATCTATCTCCATATAGTCTTCCTTCCCTTCTCTGGAGATAAGCTGACCAAGCCCCTTTCTAATGCAAACCCTGCCAACTTATATAAAAATAAAAAAGATACTGCTCTGTTTTTCCTATTCATTCACTCTTGTCATTTTCCTGTCTTTCTCCATCAGTATTCTTTCTCTGTGAGAGCATTACAGTAAGTACACAAAATTGGTTTTCCTTCCCATCGTTTAAAAAAACAAACAACTCTAACTGCACTAATTACTACCATACTATCAGGCCCCCTGTAAGAGCAAAATGCCTCAAAATAGGTGTCTACACTTTCTTCAATACCTGTTTCATCTCATTCTCTCTAAAACTTACTGAATTTCACCACCACTACTCCACCATAATTCATCAATATCAATAATCTTGTTGCTAAATCCCATGTCAATTTTTAATCATCATCTAACCCCTCTGCCTTCTACTTGGCTTAGCACTACCATTTCACATAGTTTATCATCATGTTCTTTTCTTTGAAACACCTGCTTCATTTAGGTTCTAGAACCCTGTATTTTTCTGATTTTCATCTTACCTTAGAGACAACTCTTCTTGCTCTCCATTTCTGGTTCCTTCTGTTCTCTTTTATTCTCTAAGGAATGGAGGATCCCAGGACTCCGTCATCTCGTTTTTTTTTTTAGGTAAGCTCACTCCCTTGAGGATCTCATTCAATCTAATGGCTCAATACTATAATACACTTGTGATTCTGAAATTCATATATATCCTGGATCTCCGCCTTTAGCTCCAGACTAGTATATCCAACTGTCTATTTGATATTGCCTAAGCTAAGAACCTCAGAATCATCATCAATTCCTCACTCCCCCCTCTCACATACATACACACATTCCCCACATCCACATATATGTCTATATACTAATGGTTCCACTTTTAAAATTTATTCAGGACCTAACCACTTCTTGCAATCTTCAATGCTCAACCCTGTATTGGTTACTATAACCTAAATTATTGTAATATACTCCTAGTTTTCCTACTTCCACCTTTACCTTTACCTCTCTATGGTCTAATAACAATAAGCTGTAAGTTATATTGTATCTCTTCTACTCTTTGTCATTAAGATTTATTCTTATAAATGGTCTACAAGGTTGTACACATGCACTTCCTTATTTCCCTGTCTACTACTTTACTACACTGATCTCCCCATTGCTCACACATCTCTAGCAAAAGTAGCTTCCTGATGTTTTTGAACACATCTGGCAGGTGTTCACATTCAGAGCCCCTGTACTAATTATGATTAGTGCTTCAGACTAGAATGCTATATCCTCAGATACATACACAGCTCACCTGCCTCAACTTCAAATCTCTGCTCAGGGGTTACTTTCCTTAATCACATCATTTAAAATTGCAACCCATTCCTCCACCCCACACTCCCATCTGTCTTCTCCACTTACTTCTTTCCCACGATACTTAACCCTTTCTAACCACATAGTTTACTTTTTATTGTTTGATTCCCCTCACTAGACTAAGCTCCACAGGGAAAAGGTTTTTGTCTGTTTGCTGCTCTATCCTCACCCAGAATAATGCCTACCATATAAAAGATACTCAGTAAATATTTGCTGAATAAATTTTAGTTCAGAGGCAATGGATATTATTCTAAAATTACAATAATAGTCTGACAGGTCTGTTTTAAACTCAAACAGCACTGTGAAAAATGGGTACAGAGAGAGTGGAAGCTGGGAAGATGAGAATGAAAACTGAACATCTAGAAACCTATTGGAATCCAAGGCCTAGATCAGGGCATAAGGCAAAAAGGACTTGTAAAATAAGGGAGGTGGATGAAGACAGGTATATTGGCTAGTTAAACATGTGAGTAATAGAGAAACTGAGAAACAGAGAAATTAGGATTAAATAATTTAACAGTCTTTGAACTTGGGCAACTAGGCTGGTAATGTAATGATACTGAATGAATCTCAGAACATTTTAGGCTACTATGTTCCATAGGTGGTTGGAAACACGGGTTAAGTCAAAACTCAGAAAACAAGAATTGAGTATAGCCAGAGATTTAGGCAATAGCCAGAACCACAAGAATAGACTCAATCACCCAAAAAGAGTGTGTACTGTAAGAGACTGGAGGAAGAACTGAGTATAGAATCCTGAAAACCACAATAAACTTGAGCAGAGAAGATGGCTTTAGGGGATAACTTAGCAAAGACTAAGAAGAGAGCAAAGAGGCATCAAAAGAGTGAGGAAAAATTAACATTAATAGACCCAAAGCTGAAATTTCAATGTAGGGGGGGAGGGGGCGGGTAAGCAATGAAAAGATTGTTGAATCTGTTATTTCACGGTTCATCAGGTGGCAGGTGAGAAACAGGAGGCAGTTAATTTAGTTTGTTCTTACAAAATCCCTTGTAGTGAAAGTACAGAGAGAGCTGAGAGCTGGTATCTAGAGAGGAAAACAAAGTCAAGGAAAAATTGTTAATGTGCTTTTTGTTTGTATTTATTGATAGCTAAAAGAGATCTGGATTTACTGGTAGGCTGAATAGATAAGGACAGAATAAAGTTATAAAAAAGGGATAATTGAGAAAACAAGATTCTAAAATATCACAGGAAGAAGACTGAAACACAGAGAAGCTATACAGTGGCTATACAAGAGGCAAGGTTAGCATGAGTCACCAAACTGCAGACACCTCAACTCTGCTACTACAAGTTACGTAACCACAAGCAAGTTACTTAACCTCTCTAAGCCTCAGTTCCCTATACAATAATGCTAATGATGGTATCTAGTTTTAAAGACTACCTGAAGATTCTAAGAAATAATCTATACATAAAGTTCTTTTAAAAAAAAAATTAGGTACTTTTCTTTTAAAATATTTTATTTATTTATTTTTAGAGCAGAAGGGAGGGAGAGAGGGAGAAGCATCAATGTGTGGTTGCCTTTTGAGTGCCCCCTACTGGGGACCTGGCCTGCAACCCAGGCATGTGCCTTGACTGGGAATAGAACCAGCCACCCTTTGGTTCTGGTTCACAGTCTGGTGCATGCAATCCACTGAGCCACACCAGCCAGGGTCAGATATAAAGTTCTTTAAGAACATTACCTGGCACATAAAAAAAGACTCAAATTTTAACTCTTAAATCATCTTTAGAAAGGAACAATACCACTTTTTTTTTTCCTTCCTGTACATCTAAAATACTAGTTAAATGATTAGGTGCTAGGGAGATTATAAGTAAAATGAATGAATGTCTGATGACCCTATTTTTTTAATAAAGAGATGAGGTCATATATAAAACTGAGGGTAGCAAGAGTAATGCTAAAGGTT